ACATAATTAAATTGCTAAGTATGTATTGTATTGTATATTATACATATTCAATGGTTCAGATTTGTTTAATAAATAGAGTAAACGTAATTAATTAAATAAATCTTTGCATAATATTTTTATGAAAATAGTTTTATCCCAAAACTGTAGATCCATACCACTGATAACTAGTGACTTTATAAATGTATTGTGTTTTACGATAATACCATTAGATTTTCGTTATATTTCTGGGGTATATATTTCTACTAAGAACTTAAGATTTGTATTAGATCGTTTGTACTTTTATTTGACAAAATTGTTTGTTAGTTGGTGTATGCAGTTCAAATGAATGTTCTTCAAATGAAATGAAATATTAAATATACATAATATAAATTTCACGGCAAATTAATTATTTAATATAATAATTTTCAACCACAATGGAGGAATAAAATACTTTTATGCTTATTTTATACATGTAAAGCTTAAATTTAGTGTATATTTATATTAAAAATTAATATTTTAGCAGTAAAATTACTTTGCAATAGCTTTATTTACTTCATTTGATAGATAAAATTATTTTATCGAACAAAAATTGATTAACTCTCAAGATAGTAGTAATTTGATATAACAGTATATGTCATTCTCTCACAGACTAAATCCTAGAGATATGTATGCTTCTCGCTTTTGATTTCGTTTTTCAATGAGTTTTAAACTTCAACGACCCGAAAGTTTTCATTTCTAAGACATTTGGACGATCTGCGTCTCCGTTGGCTTTTGATGTTTTGGGTGCACGCAATATTTACGCGTTTTTTGCATTACAATCTATTCACGGAACAGTTTATATATAAATGTTAATTTTTTACATTAATGTAAATAACATATTAAAGGCAGGATTTCGTTTAAAACGATTTTCTGACAACGAAGGTGTCGTCATGGCGTCCAATTTTATTAGATAACGCCACCCAGACAAATTAAATAGCTTTTTACATACCTACAAAAATATCGAATATAGATTGTGTTTTTACTAGAAAGTCATTGAAATGACTATTCTGCTTTTCAGTTTTACGAAAGTTGTAACACAAAATTTACAAAACGACCGGTATTTTGTATTAAACTAGTGCACTCAGTCTGCTGCTTCGAAAGTTAGCTCTTTCTGGCAGTCAGATTACTTTGGAGCCCTGGTTCCAACTGATTGTTTCTTCAATACGAGTAGAATTGAACTTGCGTAAGTCCCGCCGCATGCATTGGTAGATGCTGTCTGTTCAGTAGCCTGTGTGCTTTAAAATCTGCTAAAGACTGCAACTTCATTTTGCGTCTAACAGCTAGGAGATAAAAAGTGTAATCGTAGAATTTTTGTGTTCCTCTGCGGCGAGTCTTTCAGAACATAGCTCCGACCGCATGGCCATTTGCACAAACTTGTCATTCTTATCGTATACTGCATTGCAGTCTTATAGGTAATGAAAACGATTTTGTAACTCGAGCTGAAAGTTTTCTAGACTTTAGAATGAGAGCATGAGAGAGAAGGAGTGTTGACTGCATTAGACCTAACATTTCCAACTTAAGGTTTAGGTTTAGTGTGCCTCTTACCATTAGGTGATTGCTGCCAGTTTTCACCCTCGCAATCACTAAGACATCACTGAACTCTTGTCGTCTACTCGTCATAATAAAGTCTAGGTCATTATTTTGCTGAACTGTCGGGGCTCCACCAGGTCCACTTTCTGTGGGGCTGCTCCTTGAAGAAAGCGTTTATCATAAAGAGTCCCTCTTTTTCCATGAAGTCGGCTAGCTGCTGGGCCCTTGGGTTCCTTGTACTATTCCGAATTTCCCTTCTTTCACCTCACCTCGTTCTCTTGTGTGTGTTGTTCTCCCATTAACCATTAATACCATATAGTGGGTTTTGGAAAAATGTATGGCTTTAGATATATCTTTACACATTTCTTCACCTCATCAGAATGTGGCGTTTGGTGATTCTGAGTATAAAGTACGCAACGAGAACGTTTGTTAACGAGAGACTTGTTGATAGTAAATTTGTCACCTCCTTGGGATATATGGTCGCTCTACCGGTGATAGAAAAAATTAGCAGATAAGAGCACTACAGTGTTTCCCTCCTTTTCTCTTCGGACTTTGGATAATCCCATAATATTCCAGCGAAACTTGTGTATCTCTTCTTCCAACTTCAAGATCTTCTCGTCAGTTCGCAGGTTGTGTGTGTTGCCAGGTCGAGTCGTGTTAAGTGGCAGCCAAATTTCCACCTGAGATACTTAGCACCCCCTTGCCTCGCCGTGACCATGGTCACCACCGTAGCCAAGAATTGCGAGGCTGCTGGGGACTCGAGTCCGTCTCTTCATACTCTCATCATGGTGGGGTATATTGCCAAAGTTGTCAGGCTTGTCGAGTGGGCTGGCTACCACAGTTTTTTATTGTTATTTTGCTGTTACGAGAAAGATGCTGTTGCCCATCTTCGACCTTCAGCTTCCCTTTGTCATGGTAGTAGGTCCCACTGTCTGGGTAGTGGGTATTCTTA